GCTTAACCAACTGAGCCACCCAGGCGCCCCTAAAAAATCAATATTAAATGATTTAATTCTATTTACTAGTCTCAGTAAGAATTATTGAATACCACAGAGTGGAATGTTTATTTTTTAAAAACATAAAAGGTCAGTAATTCAGTCATCTGTGTACTTAAATTAATCAACTTAATATTATTTGGTGCTTTTTATGGACTTAATTTTGCTACCTCACCCTCTGCCTCAAATAAATTAGACTAATGCTATAACAGATAGGTTCCATGACTTGTTTAGGAAACATGACAAAAATAATTTTGCTCAGTTAAGTTTTGATTATGGTAGATAATTGAGGGTAGGAAACCAAAATGTAGTTATTACATGGTTTTGGCTTCCAAGGTATAACATTTAGGTTGAGAGAGAGAGTTAATAGTCATGAAACAGTTGAGACCATTAAGTGTTCAGGTGTATTTTCCAAATTATAAGAGAATAAGACATTCAGGGAAGATGGTTTAGCATAATCAGAATGTAGAAGGTCCTTAGAATTAAGTTAGTGGAGGAGACTGCATTCGAAATTGGAGTAAACACTGTGACTAAAGGAATGACTTTAGGCACATGTGGAGATATTAGAGTAGCCTTAAATGATAAGAATCTGGCTGTGGATTGAATAGTTGTCGGGTTAGGGCAGAAGGTGTGGTTGTTTAGAGCGATGGTCACATTATGGGAAGGCTTTGAAAGCAAAGGTGGCCAGCGAGGATGCATGAATAGCTTGTTTTTGCAATAGAGTAGCAAGATAAACAATTTCTCCCAGGTGAGTTATCTTATAAATGGTAGGTAGGAAGAGATTGGAGACCAGTGAAAATATTTAGGAGATTATTGTAGTAGTCTGGGGATGAGTTAATGAGTGCTTACCTTGGGAGGGTGACGGCAGGAATAGATGGGAATAACTGAGACACACTGTCACTGGAAGAAACTTGGTCATTAGCATATCCTCAGTGCACATTGAGTGAGTGAACCAGAGGTTGAGAGAGGGGAATAAATATGGAGAATGAAGGAAGAAATAAGTTAATAGTGACTTCTTCCTAGATATCTTGAGAGTTACTTACCACTGATAGAAGATGGGTAGGATAAACAAATCTAGGTAGAGGGAGATGATGAGTTCAGTTTGTACATATGGAATTTGAAGTGGTGGTAACTTTGCAAGTAGAAATGGCCTTATAAGTAGCTGGATACGTGGTTCTGGAAAATAGTCAATTCAGGGCCTGAGACATAGAGTGAGGTGTATGGGTATGTACATATATGGATATGTAAGGGCACTTTCTGAGAGAGTTTTTTTTTTTTTCCTGAGGGAGTTTCTAAAGGGAAGATTGGAAGATCAGTAAAGAAGCCTTAGAAAACACCAGAAGAAATCATTCAACATTTAGGTTTTAGAGGGCCATTTTTTTAAAAAAATATTTTTAATTGTTATGTTAATCACCATACATTACATCATTAGTTTTTGATGTAGTGTTCCATGATTCATTGTTTGTGCATAACACCCAGGGCTCCATGCAGAATGTGTAGAGGGCCATTTTTAATAATTTGATTTCAGCTTGCTTAATTTGAGTAATATATATATATATTTTTTAAGATTTTATTTATTTGACAGAGAGAGAGACAGCGAGAGAGGGAACACAAGCAGGGGGAGTGGGAGAGGGAGAAGCAGACTTCCCACTGAGGAAGGAGCCCGATGTGGGGCTCGATCCCAGGACCCTGGGACCATGACCTGAGCCGAAGGCAGACGCTTAACGACTGAGCTACCGAGGCACCCCTGAGTAATATTTTTTAAAACCTGTTTTAAATCAACCAGTAACCTGTGTTTTGAACAGTTTAGTTTAAAAATGATGGTAAAAATCAGTATATTCTGATCTGATTCTAAAATCAGAATATTTCTGATTTGTTATAACTTTTCCTAGATTGCCGTGCTAAGGAGACAGCAACGTATGATAAAAAATCGAGAGTCTGCTTGTCAGTCCCGCAAGAAGAAGAAAGAATATATGCTTGGCTTAGAGGCCAGGCTAAAGGCTGCGCTTTCAGAGAATGAGAAGCTAAAGAAAGAGAATGGATCACTGAAGCGACAGCTGGATGAAGTCGTGTCAGAGGTGAGTGCTAGTGATGCACCCCAGTGAGATGGGTTCAAGTATTCTTTTTTCCTGGGAAACCAATTGGAAATTGTGTAAAACAATAGTACTAGAAAAAGAGAGGGCATAGGGCGCCTGGGTAGCTCAGTCGGTTAGGCGTCTGCCTTCGGCTCAGGTCATGGTCCCGGAGTCCTGGGATCGAGTCCCACATCGGGCTCCCTGCTCAGCGGGGAGTCTGCTACTCCCTCTGACCCTCCCCCCTCTCATGCTCTCTCTCTCTCTCATTCTCTCTCTCTCTCTCAAATAAATAAATAAAAATCTTAAAAAAAAAAAAGAAAGAAAAAAAGAGGGCACAATAAACCCTAAAGCATTTGCAGTCAGAGTAAAGCATTGGAAAGAGGAGCTTGTGAGTTGTACCTCCCAGTCTTCATTCAAAAGCTGTGTGTTTCCTTGGTAGCTTGCTCGCTCTCTTTTCTGACTAAATGAATCCCCTTGAGGACCCTAAACAGTCTCACCAGGTCTTTCCTTTTAAAAAAGAAAATACAGGGGCATTTGGGTGGCTCAGTTGGTTGAGCATCTGACTCTTGATTTCGGCTCAGGTTATGATCTCAGGGTCCTGGGATCGAGCCTGAGTCAGGCTCCATGCTCAGTGGGAAGTCCACTTGAGATTCTCTCCCTCTGCCCCTCCCCTCATGCTCTCTTACTCTCTGTCTCAAAAAAAAGGAAACACAAAATAAAAAATTTTAAAGACTTTTTTCTGTCCACCTGACCACTATTATGTTTTTTGCATTTTGTTGCTATTCTGGTCCCGATAAGGTCAATGTTCTCCTTAATTCTGTTCATGAAACCTGCTGTCTCAGGATTTCCCACTGCACCGTCCTGAACCAAAGGGATGCCTGTGCCTAATGCATGGGCTTCTTCCACTGTTCTGTCTTGCCCTGAGCACATGGGACTGTTCCATCATGTTAAGAGATTGAAGAGACAGGGAAATAAACTACAGATGTATTTTAAAATTCTTTGAAGACCCATAAAAATGTTAAATTGTTGAATTCTTTCCTTTTGGGTGCAGAAGAAACTGCAAGGGAGTGGCCCTTGTGTTTCTCTTCTCCTGCGCCTTTCCTTTTCTCTCTCTGCTACAGCAGGGAACCTAGAAGGCTCTGCTCTAGTCTTGTGAAAAGTACTGTTTCCTCACCTTTGAGTTTTGTTTTTTTTTAACTATTAAATTGGTGAAGAGGGGTGTGCTTATCTTAGATGCTGCTTTTTGTGAGATTGATACGTAGTTTAACTGTATTTAACATGGTTATTTCTTTTAGAACCAGAGGCTTAAAGTTCCTAATTCGAAGCGAAGAGCTATCTGTGTGATGGTAGTCCTGGCATTTATAGTACTCAGCTATGGACCCATGAGGTAAGCAGAGAGCCGTCTGTTCAGGTACTAATGCTAAAACTCTCGGTTCTCATTCTTTTCAGCTCTAGTTGTAAGCTAGAGAAAAACAGATTTGTTTTATTCTCTTCAGACGCAATAATTACATAAGAAGAGGGGAAAAAGAAAGATTGGTTCCTCTTCCTTGTTCTTCATCTAGGTCTGGCAGAAAAATCATGATGTTTAATGAAGAAAGCCTTCAGTTACCAAACAGATCAGTGGTGGGCCTTGAAATCAAACTGCCCAAGTTCAAATGGTAGCTCCTCCACTTGGTAACTTTGTGGTCTTAGGCAAGTTACTTAACCTCTGTGCTTCAGTTCCTTACCTTTAAAATGGTTAAACCTTTATAATAATATGTTACCTACCTGCCTCAGTACTGTGATGCTTGAGCAGCTTCAGTGATTATAAGACACTTGGGTGGCTTCCTCCCTAGCCGGAAAGGAAGCAGCTAGAGCGGTAATTAGCGGTTTCTGACTTAGTAGGTTTGGAATGGGAATCAAGAATCTAAATATTTTATAGTGTTCTAGTTTATTTTGGTACAGGTTTCTAGCTAATCATGACTTGAGAAACACCGCTTTTAGGTTAGAGTCGTAGAATACTAGAGTCATAGAATACTAGAATTCAGAGGGACCCTAGAGGCCCTCTTTTTCAGACTCCCACTCACTGTGGCACATTTGATAAATGAATGAAATCAGCATCCTAGGTGCTGGGGAGTCAAAGAGTAATTAGACTGGGGCCATACCTTCAAAGATCTCCTGGTCTAGCTGAGAAGACAGACAAGTCAAAGGATGACTTGAGTATAATGTGATGAATATAATAATAGCAATATGAACAAATTACTAAAAAAATATAAATGAGAGTAAGAATTCCTTGAGAAGGTTCATGTCATATTGACAGATGTTCAGAACATGTTTTGATGAATGAGAGTGGTAAGGGAAATCCCCATAGAGGAAGCTGAATCTTGAAGTGTGATAGCAGTTTGTCAGTTGGAGAGTATGGAAAGAGATGCCAAGTAGAGGGACCACAGTAGTTAAAAGGCACAATTAGGAAATGGCTTGACGTTTTCAGGAAAAAGTGAAAAATTCATGTATATCTTGTACATGTGGGAATGTGTATGAGGGAGATGGGGCTACAGGTATACAGTGGGGGCCAGATACTGAAGAGCCTAGTATGCTACTGTACACCATGAGGCAGAGGGTAGCATAATCAGTTTTGGTGTTAGGAAGGTGACTGAGGCGGGTAGCGAGAATGGACCGGACTGAGCAGATGCTATTGGCAGAGACGGCACCGGGAGGCTGTTGGTGTATTTGAGGTGATATGTGCGAGTCTGGATTTGGACTGTGGTGATGAAAAGGACAGGCTATCTCAGGGTGCACCTCTGACGTAGACTCTGGGGTTTGGTGACTGATACAGAGTGGGACATGAAGAAGAAAAGAGAGAAGCTAAAGATAATTCCAAATTTCTATCTTGAGGGACAGAACAGTGATGCTCTTATTTAAGGCAGGACATAGGAAGATGAATCATTTTATGATGGAGGATAATGGTTTTTATTAGTATGGGAAGTTTGTGATACTGACTAGATAATTGGGAATTACCGTGATATATAGACAGACAGATGGCAGTGGAGTAGGTGAGATTATCCAAGGAGAACAAGTAGGGGAAGAAGAGTAATGAGAATCTGGGGAAACCAGCATGACAAACTCAGGAAAAGAAACTCAGAGTGAGTAGTGTTAGGGACAGAACCAGAAGAATGTGGTTTTCTGAAGCCAAGAGTGAAAGAGTTTCAAAAAGAGGCTTGTGGGGGCAGAAACCTGAGGTGAGAACATTGAATTTGGCAACTAGCAGCTTGATGGTAATCTTGGAGCTGCTCTGTGTTCCAGGCTTTGTGGTTGACACTCTTATCAGTGTTCATTTTGCAAGGTGATGTCCAGAGCCAACACATTTCCTTAGATACTGTCTTCTGACCTGTGTAGACTAGTGAAATCCTCACTTCCCAACAGCTCATTTTTTCATGCAGCCTAAGATTGTGGTAGCTATTTTGAAGAGATGTATTATTAACTACAATCCCCATATCTTTTTCACATGTTTGATGGTCAAGCTAGGTCATTCCCATTTTATTTCTACATAGTTTCTTTTTTTTTTTTAAAGATTTTATTTATTTATTTGAGACAGAGAGAATGAGAGACAGAGAGCATGAGAGGGAGGAGGGTCAGAGGGAGAAGCAGACTCCCTGCCGAGCAGGGAACCCGATGCGGGACTCGATCCCGGGACTCCAGGATCATGACCTGAGCCGAAGGCAGTCGCTTAAAGTAAAATGTAGATCTTGTATTCAACTTTCATTATCATTTGGTATTAGCACAACTGTCTAGAGCATTTGCTATCCCATCATGGAGCCTCAGACACCCATGTACTTTTTACTAAAATGATTCAGTGGAAAGAGGTCATATTTCTGAGTTGACCTATTTTTGAAAGTTTATACTGTATTAGACATGTTACACAGAATATGTAGAAGAGATACCTGGAGCAAGCATTTAAATTATTAAAAAGAATTTTTTTATTACCTGTTGGTATTTTACCCATATTCTTCGTATTAAAATTATTTTTTCATTTAACTCTGATAATGGCAGTCTCAGAGGCTTTATGCAGTAGTGTTCGGTGGACAGTAAAGAAGATGGGGTTGTGCTGTAGGAAGTGAGGATGGGGTTAGGGATACACATTGTTGTGGAAGCCCTCATAAGTAAATAGAGATTTGGGGGAAAAAAAGACAATTTTTAAATGAATTAATGATGTTTATAGCTACTGAGGGTAGAGGGGGTGTGTGGGGATGGATCTCATTTCTATGAGCTGATGTGTTGATTCATTTTGGAAGGAGGAGACTTTGGTCCTATTTTATCACAAAAGTTTTGTGTCCAAAAAATTAGATGAATAGTACAAACAGCAGAATGAAGAATGGGAGAAAGCTTAAATATTTGAAAGTCCTGAGCAACAGCCAGAGGAGATCTGTGTCTGTCTCTTTGTGAAGGCTTGAGGAACAGAAAGTGAAGAAGTAGTGGGAAGATTTAGGAAGTGTGCAGATTTTTAAAAACATGTTAAAAGGCTTAGATTGAAGAAAAGCAACAAAGAGCTGGAAGGAGTGAAGAAATATCAAAGTATCTTAACAGGTTGGAATATTTCCAGACACCAAGAAGGAAACAGAAAAGAAACTGGCTATGGAGCTCATAAAAACCAGGAACTATTTCTTCTCAACAAAATTTGGCATGAATGGTGAAATATCAAAGCTGAGAGAGCAACAGTGGTCTGAAAGACTGAAACCTGCCCCCGAACCAAATGTTGGCAGTGGAGATGTGCCATCACGTATGTTCTTCAGAAACATTCTTGATTGACCCCATCCTTCGCAGCCTCTTCACTGCAAGACTGAAGATCTTCTTAGGGCTGGGAATCTGCCAGAGGAGCAGAAACTCCCCAGTTGAACCTTATTAATACCACCTGGAATGTATTTATTGAATAACTTCCACACCCATGGCCGTGTATATCTATAAACCTTAAGCAAGCATTATTGTGTTTTAATTGGTATAGAAAAAAACAGATTGTGAGTTCTAACTGAACTTTTCTCAAGTACCACAAAACTAAGTCTGGCCAGACAAGCAGACATTTTAATGAGAGATTTCCAAAGCACTTTAAATTTAGGAAACTAAACTCTTTCAGAACAGATCACATTACCATAATAAAGTTGTTAGTGTTGTTTCAGATGTTCAGTGTAGAATTGAACTTCTGTGCCATATTGGTATGGGTCCAAGTGAAAAACTGTCTAACACACAAGTTTGCTGCCTATAGGTATGCCTTAAGAAACATTTCCTGAAGGCACTTGTGGTGATGAAATATAAATACATCTTACGTCTAAGGTAAGAGAGTTTTGTGCAGCAACACTGACTAGTTTGAAGAGTTTTAGGTTACTGAATAGTCATCACACAGAAAAAGAAAATAAATCAAACAGACTTAAAAGGGTTAATTTTTCTGACCTTACTGATGTTACGTGGATGGTAAAGACGGCATCTAGCTTTTTCTGGCACAAGATTCAAAGAGCTGGCCCACTCTGGGTGGTCTATAAAAATAGTAACTCTGGGCAGCAGGGAATGGCTAAACTGGACAAATGTGAATTGGTAGGAAACCCTCTTCTTACTGTTCAATATTAGGGTTGATTCTATGATTATTAGTCCTATTTTATAGTTAAAGAACTGGAAATTTAACCAAGGTCTCTTTTAAAAATTATTGAAAACTCTGCCTTCTCTACTATACGTATCATAAAGTGGTTTTTTTCCTACCATTGTCCAAGAAACCTTAAGGACTTCTGTTTTTGGCAATATGGTGGGCTAGAGGTATGGAGAACCTCTTTGCAGTTCTATACACCAAAAAATGCTGGATTAAAAAACACATCAAAACTCTTTTTTTTTTTTTTCAGATTTTATTTATCAGAGAGACAGAGGCAGGCAGAGGGAGAAGCAGGCCCCTTGCTGAGCAAGGAGCCTGATGTGGGACTCGATCCCAGGACGCTGGGATCATGACCTGAGCCGAAGGCAGACGCTTAACTGACTGAGCCACCCAGGCGTCCCACATCAAAACTCTTTTATGTAATGGCTGAACTGAAGACAGTAAGGACTTCCTAGAGGCCAGAAATATAAAGATAACATGAATCCATTATAAGCTAGCTTTGGAAGTGATGCTATTTCCTGATCCGTTAGCCTAGAGTCTGGTGACAAGAAAGCTCTGGGGTCCTGAACAAGGTAGGAAGTCACAAATGAGCCCCATCCCCCCTTCCCAAACCCAAATAAAGCTGGAACTTCCAAAGAATGACATTTTCAGTTGCTAAAAAGAGGGGGGAAAAGTAGGTTGTCAAACTACATAGGGAGAGTATTGATAAGTACCTGTCTTGGTATTGGCTTTGAGTAGGATGGAAATAAAGAAAAAGTCTCCCTGAGAACTCATCA